TGAGCCTGATGCTAGGCCAGGACTGGAAGTGCACGGTGAGGAATACAGAATCCCTGCTCTCTGGAAACTCAGAGCTTAGTGGGAGGGACACACCTAGGAACAGATAATTCAGTGACACAACCTGGAGTTCATGGCTAAGGACTTTGGACTTTGTCTTGGAGATATGGTCCCAGGTATTAGGGGAGCAGAAAGGAAGGAATGACAGACACCCTGTATGGGGCTCAGTGGCCCTGAGGGAAAATCTAACAGAGCTGAGTCTCAGAGGATGAGTAGGATTTTGCTAGATGAGATCTAAACAAGTTATTATTGCTATCGTTGTCACTAATGGCAATAGTCATCATTTATGAAAGGCTTGGTCTACGTCATTGCCAAGCCCTTTGCTATCTGCTAAGCATATCACACGTCTAATGTAATACCATCAAATCCTGTCAGTTGGGTATTATTGTAACCATTTTACAGAAGTAGGAAAACTGTGACTTATACAGCTTGGAAGACGGGAACCTAGGATTGGAAGTCAAGGTTGTCTGACTTCACCTTTCCGCCCATTGTATTCTCTCTCCCACATTCACTTATTATTAGTGCAGGAAGCATGCAAAACAATACATAGTTTAGTCAACAGCTCTCAATTCAAGAACATGTTGAAATATAGAGAACTGTGATACCTTTGGCAATTAATAATTAATAACTAAATAAGCAAACCATCAACTGAACTGGTTCAGCATTGATCTGATTTAATATTTTCTAGTAGTGACTCTTCTTCATGTGACAGGGACAATACTTTCCATGGTCTCCATGGGCACAGTACTAACCTAGGTACGTATGGAAGGAATGAGAGAAATATAAAAGTCTCACAATCCTTATCCAAATCATATCCACATCACAATCCAAAGCTTATGATGACATTGAGGAGATTAAGATTCATGCACAAAGCAGGGGCTCACAAAATTAAGTAAGATCAAGGGTCAGTAATAGGGTGAGGGGGGCAAGAGGCTGAGTTCATTCGGCTGCAGAAAGGCAGGACTTGAGCTGGTCTTTGCAGGTTGGATGGGACCTGGACAAAGGAGGAAAGGGAAGCATGGCAGGTGGGCCAGGAGGGCCAGGGAGCTCACACAGTGGGTGTGCTTGGCCATGAAGCAGTGGCAGCCTGGCCTGGCTGGAGAAAAGGTTCAGATTTGAAAGTAGTGGGGGGTTAGGTAATATTGGTAGGATCAGGCTGATAATGAAGGGGAAGAATGGAAGCTAAGAAACCTCAATTTTGTCTTTTAGGCCCTGGCAAGCCATTATAAGCTTTTGAGTAGAGGAGAAACATTATAAACAAGCCAATGAATTATTTTGGCTTCCAAAGAGCCCCTCTTTCTAAAAGATTGGCATCTGGTCTCTTTGAGATCAGCCTCATTGCTTTGGTGAAATTTGAGGCTTTCCCTGGGATGACAATTGAGTTTAACAGCTGGTCAAGAATCGCCAGAGAATGAGACCAGAAAATGTCACACTGTCAGGCCCAGCCCCTTGTTTATCAATGGCAATGATGAAAACCAGTAATGATGAGGAGGAAACAGAATTCAAACTGGTGGCATATTTCATCCAACATCACAGAGCAAACGTGTGGCAAAGCTGGTCCTGGCTGCCACGCCTCCATGGCCCACCCCCGCCAGCAGGGAGGTGAAGACTGAGGATTCACAAACATCAGTTATTAGGGATTGCTGGGGTGTCCGTGTAGGCAAACCACACTTTCATCACTGCACTCATGGAAGAAGAGGCCCTCGGTGGGCTCCAGAGTGAGAAGAGATTCTTTTTTAGGCTCTTGGGCCAACTGGGGCAAGAACCTTGGCGTTTTATGCTCCTGAGATAGACACCAGAGTGGGGTAACCTTCCCAGAGTGGACAGGGAAGAAGCTTTGGTTTGGGTCTCTGGCCACAGATTCCAGAGGCTCAGTCTTCACCTATCCAACTCATCTGCAAAAAGCCTAAGCACAAGTTGGCAAAACAGGCAAAGGTGATCTGTGGAGAAGCCAGCTTATGTCTGTTGAGGGGTCCAGTAGAATGAACTTAGATAGGCAGAGAGAGGCCTGTGGGAGCCACAGTGCTGGAGGTGGGGAGGTCGTGAGGACAGAGGAACTTTATCTTCAATCTGAAGTTCTTGCTTCCTTTCTTGTCCCCCAAACCATCTGGGCCACTGGGTCACACAGCCCCGTGTCTTCCCATCCATCCATTTCTCTCTGACTTCCTGTCTGCATCTGTGGCTTGGCCCTGCCTGCTGTGCTGCTTCTTAGCTTTCGCAGAGGAAGAGCTCTGCATGGTGACAAAAAGGGGAGTGTTGGGTCCCTCTGCCTGCAATCTAGAAAGGGGCACACAGCTTGAGTGTGGAGGGCAAGAGGCGGGTTGGAGGCTGGGAGGATGGCTGCGGCCATCAGGGGTCTCCTCCTCCCTGCCAGCCTGGCTCTCTGTCATGTGAGTGGTCCCCCTTGTGCTTTGCGGAATCGCTGGCAGTGACAGGAAGGAGATTACAGACTGTATTTATGCCTTGTAGCTTTCTGTAGGCTGTTGGGAAACAAGTAGAACTTGGCAGTTATCAGTTCTGGGAAGGAGAATTCCAAGTATATTGTAGCCCTGAAGCGGTGCCCTGCATGGGGGCGTGCTGGTGTCACCTTGGATAGTCCTTCCTCTCTCAAATGTGTTTTATCAATCCCTGAGTGGAGAGCAGGGTCAGCTTCTTTCCCTAATATTGCAGTGATTCCTCTCTGAGGAGTTCTAGCTCCTCTGGGTCGTCTTGGGATGGGGACAGCAGAGGCTCAGCTAGAGCAGAAAGACAAGGAACATGTGGCTACAGCAGGATGTCAGAGGGAGCCCTGGACCCCCAGCACCAGTAGGGACACAATGAAGGAGACAGAGGTTGGAGTCAGGCAGGGCTTCCTCCCCTCCTCAACCCTGACCCTGGCCCTGAGCCCTGCTCCGGCCATTGTGGGATCCGGAGGCTGACAGTCAGAAGCAGCATCACACACACATTGTAGGTAACAATTATTTCTTTACCTTCTGTTTTGCCCACTAGACTGTAAGCACCTAGAAGACAGGGAGAGAGCAGGGGAGAGAGAGAGAAAGAGAGAGAGTGAGTGAGAGAGAAAGAGAGAGAGTGAGTGAGAGAGAAAGAGAGACAGAGACAGATAGTGTGTGTGTTTTGTCTTTGATGCCCAGGCACCAGCACAAGGTAGATTCTTAATATATGGGGACTAAATTGAAGCAATTTGTACCTTCCCAGAAAAGGGCAGGAGGGAGTAGTAAAAAGCTACCGAAGAGCAGATCTGTCATTTGCCAAGTCAGCCTCAGACACCTGGAAAAGGCTGACGTTAGCAAAGCTCCCAGGATTGTCCCACCCTGCCACTCAGGGCACAGCCACCTCTGCCTCTCCTTCGGTGAGTGCAACATTAATTTAGCACTTACTACTGCAAGCACTCTCTTTGGACTGGTAAGAAACAGAAGGGCAAAGAGAAGCAGAGAGCTTGGGAGAACAAAATGTCTGGAGTCAGAAGATACACCACTTGCTGGCTGTTTTCTTAGGCAAGCCCTGTGCTTGACTCTCCTAAGCCTCGTTTTCCACGTCTACAAAACCAGAGCAACTACCTGGCAGGGGAAGGGCGCCTCTCATATGCTGCTGACGGACGTAAATGGGTGTGACCTTCCTGCAAGTAATTTGTAAAAATCCCTTAAGATGAACACACCTTTGGACTTGGCAATTCCACATCCAGAAACGTATCCTAAGAAAATTATCAAGTCTGGAGTAAGAGTCCGCTGCAAGAATAGTCATTACATGTTTATAATAGCAAAAACTGGAAAGAATCTAAACAACACATGTGAAGAATTTGTCTGAGTAATTATAGTATACCCATAAATGGAATGCCATAATCATTAAAATTATAATATATTTTCCTCCTACATGAAAAGGTGTTTATGATATGTTGTTAAATATAAAAGGCTATTTAGTGAACAGTATGAAAATATGATACTGCTTTTAAAAAGGAAGCATTTTACTCCAAATATTAACTGTAGCTTATATTTGTATTGTAGGATTGCTACTAACTTAACATTGTTCCTCTTATTTATCTATTTTTTACAAGAGGTATTTGCTATTTTTTAAAGGTAACACAATCGTCATATTAAAATACCTATTTTTATAGGTTTTGCTTTAAGAGTTAAAGGAGATATTACATGTGAGAGTACTTTGTGAACTGAGAAAATTATACAGATTTAAGATAGGACTTCTGCCCATGAGAAGCTTATAGTTTGGAAGGAGATGAAAGATATCTAAGATAACCATAGCATGAGACAGGATGTGACTAGAGCTTTTAGAGAATGACAATCAACATGTTATTTGGAAGCACAGAGGAGGAAAAATTGCTTCTGGCTGTGGAGGCAGCAGCCAGAATGTTTGCGTGAACAATGAAGAATGGTTCTGGTAGAAATATCTGATCAGATAGAAATATAGAATCGGGCATTGAGGGGAGTGGGAAGTTGTGGACAGGTTTGGAGAATGGCAGGTGTTGTGAGTGGTTGGAGAGTAGAGAGCCACTGGTGCAGGGTGGAAGATGGGTCTAGAAAGGCAGTCAGAGCCAGTTGCTTTCTAGACAATGGGCAGACGTGTGTTGAAGGCCTTCTCTGAGCTGGAAGTCATTGTACTTCTGGCGGGGGTGGTGCCACAACTGTAAGCCCATTTACAGGTGTGAGGCACTCACGCTGTGTCGGCAGTGCCTGGCATGGATGAGACCTTGAAGAGCATGAATGAAGTCACCTATCCCGGCAGCTCTGCCTGGAAGCAGCAGTGCAGGGTGCTCTGTGGGGCCGATGGTGGGAAGGAGGAGCATGGCCGGGAGAGGGGTCCTTTGTAGCTTGTGCCGCTGGGGATGGAAAGGAGGGAAGATATCTTCAGGCCTGCCTGGAAGAGGATGAGAAGTGGGATAGTGATGGAGGAGTGAAAAGGAGATGAGGCTTGGAGGAGGGAGGAATCAGGCATATCGCCCAGGTTTGCTGCTGGGGTGGCCACAGAACTGGGAGTCGGTCACAAAGTTCACAGACAAGGTCACATGGAGGAGAAGCCTGGTGCAGGGAACAAGCTAGGAGTAACTGGACCACGATGATGCCTGTGAGCTGGTCCTGATCTCTTGGGCTCTTCCCAGGGGCTGCCCAGGGCAGGCAATGGCTGGTGTCCCTTATTTGCTCTTGGGAGGAGCCTGGGGTGCAAGAAAGGGAGAGGTTTTTGTTTTACTCCAGAGAGCTTTTGTTAATGGAAATTCACAAACCGCCCTGCTTATCCTTGCTTCCTTCAGCTCATCCCACCTCCCGGCACCCTCGACTTCCTCTCTCCTGCCACCAGGAATTCAAACCTCCTTCAGGATCCCGGATGCTATCTCTCTGCCACCCTCACCTCCCAGCAGTGCGTGCGCGCGCGCGCACACACACACACACACACACACACCCCCCAGAAGGGAGGTGAGAAAGTCTTGTTGTTCAGGCAAATATCTAAATTTCCACCACCCCACCACCACCACCCCTTGCAGCTCCCGGCCTGGGCCACTGTTTCGCTCCTCTTGTTGTCATGTCACCAGTTAATTACATTCTTTACTGAGGTGCAAATGTGTTTTTACAGGGAGAGTAAGATGGTGTTAACTAGGAAGGAACTGTTAATGTTAAAGATGCATTTACCTCTGGTATAGGGCTGGCCTTCCTGGCCAGCGGTTCTCCCGATGCTGCTCTGAAAGTGCAGCCAGGCCTCAGAGCAGCCCCCTCCCCCGACCCCGCCATCCTGACTCCAAGCACAGCCTCACTGAAGTCCAATTAGCAACTCATCCACAAGGAGACATTGATGGGACTGTTTGAGAAGTGTCCGGTCAGACCTTATGGAAGTGCTGACCACCCAGCCTCCATTCACCATCACCGTGGTCCATTTCAAATATTGACAAACAAAATTAATTCGCTTTAATCAAAAAATAAAAATAAGTTGTGCAGCCAAAGCCACCTTGAGGTCACAGGTTGTCCTTTAGTGCTAAGTGCTGCTTTGGGTCCATTCCCCTCCGACTCTTCCTCCCTGCTGCCCTGGGCACCTCCCCACTCACCCTTACCCCCAGTGTCTCTCCGGATCCCAGCCGGAGCCCGCTATCATTTGGATCCGCACGCCTGACAGCTCGACCACTGTGCCCCCTTCCTCTGAGTTTCACCACAGCCTTAATACAAGATGTCAGCTGTGGTCTTCCCAGCACCACAGAAATCACTCACAGGCACCTGCCCGCACTTGGGGGAGAGGGCTGCAGGCACTCCTGCTGTCAGGAAGCCAGAC